GGGAAAACACACAAAAACACAAACCACACAAACTGGATTCCTAACAATTGGAAACTGTGTGCACAGCTCATTCCGGAAGTATTGCCACCCCCTGAGACTTGTTTCTATAAATTGTTGCATTTCAGTTGCAGATTTTAGATATTTTTATTAAGCAGACCAAGACAAAGTCCTTTATAGAAATTAAGAGGAAGAAAAATAATAAAAATATACATCTTTAAAGCTTTATAGATAAAACTGGGCGCCTTTGCTCTGGGGATCCCTTTGGGTGTCTGGGGGTTTGAGTCCCCCGACGCTTGCCTTGGTGCTCTGGGAGGACGCGTCTTTGGCTCTTCACAACCACTATTAAACATTTTCCCTCTGGATAAACTTTACATGCACAGTGCACTCTCACAAACAACTACAGGTGCTTTGCTCCAGGTACTTAGAGATTCACTTCCATACAGAAAGTCTGCTCTATACATGTCAGATTAAATAATACTACTTATACTTCAGCGATAGCATCAAGGTGCAACTTTATTGTATCTCTTATAATTTATCCGTTGGTTGTGCTGTTCTTTTTCCATCTCTTTGCAGGTGATGAAGCAGACTTTTATCCCCTCTTTCTTTCATATTTTCTCCTTTTTCTTGTTTTTTTCTTTTCCTGTTCTACTCACATTGCAGTGTCCATATAAGCTGTAATACTCCCTGCATTAATTATAATAAAGCTATTTACATGCATAAATCAAGAGGAACACTATGGCGATAGCTGTACTATTGATGCCAAAAAATTAGGGGTTTTTTTTAGCATCAAGGTAGTTATGCTTATTGCCAGCCCTCCAGACAGGACACTGAGAAAAATATCTATATATTATCGTTACAATTTCAAATATGGCAGTTTTTCCTGAAAGCCACAATGGTTTGTTGGAGATCGGCTCCATCTACATACCATTTCCATGGCATTCACTGCATGATAGTCCCACCTCTATGTTTCAGAGTGGCGTGTTAAGGGCATGGGGTTTTACCTTTTGGCCAGTTTGCTGTCTTGTATACTAAACACAGCTTGTTTAGTACACCCATTTGACCAAAGCATCTTGGTGTAGATGTTTAACTAGTCCTCTACTAGGCATTTTAAACTCCATTCCACAGGATCCTACAACTTTCAGATGTGTCCCTGGTCAAACACACCTGAATCAGCTGTCTAAATTACCTCAGTATTGAGTAAAGTTCTCCTAAAGATCTGCAGCAGGTGTGCTGTATCAGAAACGCATTGGAAATGGTAAATAGCATGTACTTATATAGCGCCTTTATGCACACACTGATGGTGGCAAACTGCATTGTAGCCACAGCTGCCCTGGGGCTCACTGACAGAAGCGGGGCTGCCGTACACTGGCACCACCGGGCCCTCTGACCACCATCAGTAGACAATGCAGGTGAAGTGTCTTGCCCAAGGACACAACGACAATGAAAGTCGGAGCCGGGGCTTGAACCGTCAATCCTTCGACTTCAGGGCAAACTCCTACATCCAACGCCACTGTCGCACCGAAATGTGTGGTTTGTGGCGAACAGGAAGTGTTTTAAATCAATTTCAGTCATTTGTTCTTATTTTTTCTCTTCTCCTTATTGCCACATCTTGGTGGTTACAACTAATAGTTCCCACCTGAGCTGTGTGTTCCTGCAGCTCCTCCAGAGTAGCCATGAGCCTGTCATTAGCTCTCTCTTTGTTTAGCATTGTAAAAACCTTATCATTTTTCTTTAACTTCCTCCCTGAGCAGTTTACTATGCTTCTTTGTCTTCATAATGCTTCATTTACGGTTTTCTAGCAAACCTTTATAACATTGCCTTCATCCCTGTTTGGTAGGGAGTCATATACTTGTTTTTCCTCATCAGATGGTTATCAATTTTAATAAATTCATATGATGTGAATTTCTGGAATTTTCTTTGGGATCCTGTCTCTCACTGTTAGAATGTACATATGATTAAAACTGTAGATTGTTGCATTCTTTGTAAGTGGGCAAACCTGCAAAATCAGCAAGGGGTCAACTACTTATTTCCCCCACTGTAAATGTTCATTTCCAGGACTCCAACCAGTACAAGTTTGGCCGTACAAAAATCTTCTTCCGAGCCGGACAGGTAGCTTACCTGGAGAAGCTGC